AATAAAATGATTATGATTTTAATATAATATTTTATCTTATTAATTATTTTAATATATTTTATCTTTATTAACCATATTAATATAGAAATAAAAATAAAAATAAAAACCACAAACCCAAGCTCTCAAACAGCTCATTTATATTTGTAGTCTGGGCCTAATCCCCATTTGTATAAAAAACAAAAACAAAAAAACAATAGCAATAATAAAAGAATGAATTAATTTCACTTTTACTTTAATTTTAAATGGTCTCGGTGCTGGGATGTTTTCTTTGTTGTCGATGCCTAATTCCCATTTTTATTTTCATTTTTTTTTCAAAAGAAAAACATAAATTAATTTCACTTTTACTCCATGAACCATCACCATTTTATTTTATTTTTAACAATTGATTCCGTTAAATTAATTGTGGAGTGCAGTTTATTTAAAATAATAAGATAAACGAGCGTTTTGTTATGATTTAAATGGGTAAATTATATTTTGTATCCTTGTATTTTGTACAAAATCTGCTCTTAACCCTTATACATGAAATCGTGATAGTTAATCATTTGCATTTCTAATCAAATCTCACTTTGGTCTCTGCACATGAAATTATAACAATCAGCCCCTTGTAATTTTGTTAAATCTCACTTTGGTCTTTATACAAGTGTCAATATCTCATTTCTATTACTCAATTATTTAAATCTTTAACAGAATCTAGTCATGTAATAAGAATGTGACTACAACATATGGGTAAGAAAGGAAAATCATCTACATTTTTTACAAATACATACTTTATCCCAAAATTTATATCAAAATATGACTGTATTAAGCTAAAACAAAACCCATATTGTGAACAATTAAGAAGATGAACTTGGATTTTGTATAAATTGAAATCACTAAACTCTATTTTTCACGGTAACACAGTTTTCTGTCTTTTCATCTTTCTTTCTCTTTGATTTCTTGTCTCATTTTTTTTATTTTTTTTATTTTATTTTAAAAACTTTACTTTCTTATCTTTACGTCCTGATTTTTACCATACAAACATATATACATTGTGTTATATAGCTTTCATGTATATATCATGTAGGACAAAGTGTATTAGTGGAAGACATTGATAATTTTTCTTTCTTATCCTCATTTCATGGTCGCATTTATGTGACTAGATTTTGTTAAAGATTTAGAAAAAAAAAAAAAAACAGAAGAAGGACATTGACACTTATGTAGGGATCAAAATGAGATTTGAGTAAAAGTATAAGGAATTAAGGGTGTGTTTGTTTTGAAGGATTAGGGAGTGGGATTGAACTATTAGTCTCATCAGACTAATAATCTATTGTTTGTTTCATTTTTTTTGCTCCGGTCTAATAGTCCCCCTGGACTATTAGTCCCACAAATATGGAACTATCCTATCCCATGGGGGTAGGTGGGATAGAAACCATGGGATTGGTATCCCATGGAATTATTTTGTGAAATGTCCATTTTACCCTCCATGCTATTACTTAGCAAACAATTAGAAAATGATAAAATAGTCTTTTGAACATTTATAATTTATTTTTTTAGTGTTGTTAATTTAAAATTATATATTAAATAAAAAATTTAAATTATAAATTATAAATTAAATTTAATAAAAAATAATAAATTAAAAATTATGGCCTTATAAATTAAATTTTTTTAGTGTTGTTGAAAATTTAATTTATATATAAAATAAATTTATTTTTTATTGTCGTTAATTTAAAATTATATATTAAATAAAAAATATAAATTATAAATAATAAATTTAATTTAATTTAATTGAAAATAATAAATTAAATTAATTAAAATATTGTGCAAAAAATAAAATAAAACAAATTTTTATTTAATCTAACTAAAAATAATTAAAATATTAAAGCTATATTTAATATTGCTATTACTTAGTAAATAATTGAAAAGGATAAAATAGTTATTTGAGCATTTATCCTTCTCCATAATATTCCAAACAAACTTTAGATAACTAAAAATAGTTCAATCCAGACATCTAATCCCATGACTAAACAAGCATAGGATACAAATTTAGTCCAACCAAATAGTCCCAGGACATCCAACCAAATAGTCCCAGGACAATGAATCCCAAGACTAATAGTCGATGGATTACAATCCCCTTTATCCAGTCCGTCCAAATAAACGCACCCTAACTGTCACGATTTCAAATGTAGGAATCAAAGTAGGATTTGACCAAAAGTATAAAGGGATTGATTGCTATGATTTCATGTGTAAAAGTCAATGTGAGATTTAGTGCAAAGTGAAAAAGTGTAAAGTGTTCGTTTCGAATATAAGTTGACGTTTTGATTTTTTGACTTTTATCTGGGGTTAAAAAGAATCGTTTTTGGATAAATTTTTTTTACTTTTTTTGACTTGTGTAAAAATTAAAATAAAATAATTATAGTTTGAATGTGACATTTTATTTTATTAATTTTAATTTAATTTATATTTTTATAACTATTTTAATCCCGTAACAACTTCCCAGACGAGTGCTTTGTAGTATGGGCCTAATCCCCATTTGTATAAAAAAAAATAATAATAATAACAATAATAAAAAGAAGGAAAATGAATTGTGGCCCTAAATAAAAAGAATGAGTTGATGAATTAATTTCACTTTTACTTCAATTTTATATGGTGTTGGTGATGGGATGTTTTCTTTGTTGCCGGGACTTAATTCCCATTTGTATTTGTATTTATATATATATATAAATAAATAAAAACATAAATTAATTTCACTTTTACTTCTTGAACTATCACCAATTATTTTATTTTATTTTTAAATAATTGATTTCGTTAAATTAATTGTGGAGTGTAATTTATTTAAAATAATAAGAAAAATGAGCATTTTGTTATTATTTAAATTGTTTAAATTTTCAACAGTTACCGACTTGTATAATCGTTTCTCATTAGATCATCGAACATATATTAAAAATTGTAGAGACTAAATTTAAAAAAGAAAAAGAAAAAAATAATTTAAGGAATGAAAGTGATATTAACCCAAAAAATATTATATCAAATTTTACATAAAGATTTGATAATATTATAATTTGTCAAAAGTTTTTATTTTTTTAAGAGGACTCGTAAAATTTGCCACCATGTTTAGAATTTATTCAATATTCTTTGGCATTTTGGCATAATGGGTGGACAAATGGCATTTTTATTCAATATTTTGTAAGGAAAAAAAAAATAGAATTTGCATCAACATTGACTTCAACCTTACCATTTTATAATTAATGCTCAATATCACATTATTTTAAAAATCTCATGTGGAGCATGTGAAAATATGAAATTCTATTGAGATGGAATATAAAATGTCAAGTGCCAGTTTGAAGGAAACCATTTTATTAGTAAAATTTTCTGGTTTAGTTTTTTTCAAGTTGTCATATTAATTTGAGAGAATATTTAAATTTGATAGGTTCATTTTGAAACCAATTTTAGTAATTCGAACCATTTACTTTTTTAAATTTGTTGAGTAAAATGTTCATATAAAAAATTAAAATAATTGAACATTGATAGCTATTTATTTGAATAATATTTATTTTTAAAAAATAGACGATAAATATAATATCAAAAAAAACTATCTATTTTTTGTAATATAAATTTAATTCAAACATATAACTATCGATATCTGATTATCTTGATTTTTTACATGAATATTTTATTCAATGAGTCCTATAATATAAATGATTTGGATTATTAAAACGAAACATATGATGAACTCTACTGGCCCCTCAAGTTCTCTCATGTAAAGATGTGAACATGAGAGAAATCTAATACAATTTTTATTGTTGTAATCGACTCTTTGTAAACAACCACAAGCATTCAAATTATAGTGGCATAATGGTTCATTTAATCAAGGTTGTTAAAATCAAAATCTTAAATAAAATCCCTGAGAGGGGTTGGTAGATCGGATTGTAGAGTCTGATCTAGAATCTTAAGATTCTACCTTCCATGTAAAATAAAACAAAAAAAATTTCATAATAATATGCATCCTAAAGAATTTTAAATCATTAAAGAAAAATTATAAATTTGATATAATGTATATTTTACGCTAACATACATTACAAGAAATGGAAAAAATACTTTATAGTTAAATTTCTTATATAAATATACACATATACATACATATATAAGAAATAAATAATAAGGTTTTTTTTTAGTAGGATTAAGATCGTAATCGAATCTAGATCGTAATGCAATTCTACACAATTTAATGACTAAAATCATAAACACTTTTAGATCTTATTGAATTTAAGATCGTAGTGCGATTTAAATCGTTTAGATCAATTAGAATCGGAAAATCTTAAGATCCTACCATCCGAATCAAGATTCTCTATCAAAAATTTTACTTTTTATGTATCTAATACACATTCTTAATCATATGATGCGTATTAAAATTTTAAAAGCACCAAAATCTCAAAAACGCAATTGTGCAATCAAGAATGCACCGATTTAAAAATAAAAAAAATCCGGCAACTCAAACTAGAAGAAAAAAGCATACTCATAAATTTTGAATTAGCCATAAAAAATTGAGTTTGTTGCTGGGTATAGCGGAACCTGATTTTATTCATTGTGTACACCGAATTGTATATGGATATTGTAACAGTCAAATCAGAATTCCATTTGTGTAGACATAATACATCCATTGTGGAAGATGATACTGTAACCAACAGACATTGTCCCAACAACTCTTCAGTTTCTTGAGGTTATTCGAGTCCATTAGGGTTGTTCTTACTTAGCTTAATGATTTCTTTATGCATTATGTGAACAATAAAAAGCCTTCGTTTAGGATATGAATCGACTTTTTGATTATTTTAATCTGAGACTAAAAAGTCTCATTTAATATAGGCTTTTTGATTTTTTTAAATTTTGTGAGAGAAAAAATAAAATGATTATAATTTGGCCATGACATTTTGTCTTATAGGCTTTTTAACATATTTTATCTTTTTGTGACTATTTTAGCCCAAAACCAACACGCCAAACATAAATAGTAGAAACCCTGTGAAAGGTGAAAAATATGGATCCAAGATGGGCATCCAACCAAAGATTACTGAAACATCACATTAGAGAGTATCATATGTACCAAATGAAGAAGGAAAAACAAAAACATATTATTCAGATTAGCAAACTTCTAAATAATATGATTAAACCCTTTGTTAAGGGATTGGATATTATTTAAAAAGCATAATATTTTCAGCAACAGTTTTTATCGATATACTTCACTTTGTATGTCATGTCTTCATCAATATGGTTTTGGTGGTATAAGCCGGCATGTAGGTTTCGAATATTGATCAGTCTTCTAATTGGCAAATGATGCTGGCAAGTACCTGGTAGCCTTGGCACATGTCGGAAAGAAGACAGTATTCATTCTTGGCATGGTATGTGGCCATTAACCCTGCATATATACAACACAACTAGTCATAATATTCATAATTATGGTTTGAATCTTTCATTAAATTTCAACATCCAATTTGGAACTCAAAAACTTGTATGTCCAGAATATTATCTCATACTTCAAAATATAAGGGGAAAACACAAAATTAAATGAAGGTAGTTAATTTCCTAAAAACAATTTCTAACTAAATATATACCGGATCATCACGTTTAGCCTCAGTATATATACATAGAATTTACTAAAAAATGATGGAACCACACCATTAAATTGAAACGAGTATACTCTCTCTAAGCATAAATGAATCAAAGTATCATGTGATTCTCATCATGAACAAGGCCAGCCCTGGCTTAAGGCCAGTAAGGCTTGTGCCTTAGACCTCAAAATTTTAGCCCAGAATTAGGACCCCCAAATTTAATAAAATGTTATAGGTTCAAGTAGTTTTTTTTTTTTTTTTTTTAAGACCAATTTAAAGGGTCCCAAAATATTTTATTGGGCCTATGTATGATTTAACCCATATTTATTTATAAGTGTGGTTTGACCCATATTTATTAAAATGAAAATATTTACACAAAAAAAAAAAAAAATGTTTTGGCCCAAGAACAACAATACTCTCTCTCTCACGAATTGATGAAAAAGGAAGCATGTACCAAGCAAAGGCAGAGAGCACAGCACTGAGCGACTCACTCTCTCTCTCTCTCTCTCACACACACACACACACACACACTCCTCCGGCAACTCACTCTCTCTCACACACACTCTCTCATGGTAAGTCTTCTCTTTCACTATCAGATTTTATTAAATGAAGTTGTCCTAATTTTTTTCTACATTCTTTATTTATCAGTTAGTGGAATAATAAATTTGTTCTAATTTGTTTTTTACCTTCTTTATCTATTAGATTTTAATGGAATAAATAAGTTTGCCCTATTTTTTTTACCTAGGTCTTTATCAGTTTTAATTGAATAATTTTTTCCTAATTTTTTTGCCTTAATTTTGTTCCAATAATTTTTTTTTTATAATTTCTTTGCTATCAGATATGAGATAATCAGTGGATTGTGATTTTGTGGATTGAAGTGTTTGTGATTATAGTCATGTTTCCTAGAAAATATAGTTTTGGAAATAAAACGAGAAAGAAGAAGATGAAAGTAGAACAATTAATGAGAGGGGCCCCATTTTCATAGGTCGCCTTAAGCCTCACAAATCTTAGGGCTGGCCCTAATCATGAAAATGCACGGAACCTAACTCTACCAAATCCAAATTATTAATAACAATTGAAAATCAAATCAAGAAACTATGAAAATTAAACCCATGATTATTATAGTAGATAATGAAAAGTACATGGAAAAATATAGAATTAACCAATTTGTTGTTTTGAGAAGTTGGTTAAAAACTGGCTTTTCAATTTTTTTTTTGGCTTTTTTTGAAAAAACGTGTAAAACAGTAGAGAGGTGATGTGACACAAAATAGGTTAAAAGCCAAAAAGTAGCCTCTTACTATCTTCCCAAAAGAGTGACAATCCAATCCACCTCTTTGGCAAGGTTTACCTTACCTAAAGGTTACCTTCTCAATTTAGTATTGGAACAGTGCAGCTTTGCAGTCCATTATCAACTTTAAATTTAAACTGAATTTACTTTTCTTTCCTAGAACATAGTAACACTACCTACAAATTATGGCATTTACCTACTTCTCAAATTCAAACAAATAGAAATTTCAATCGATAGGATATCTGAAGAATTGCCCAGAAGAGACCACAAAAATTGAGAATTTCGAATCCCTTAACACAGAATATCAAACTGTTCAGTGCTAATGCCGGGCTCAGTTAACCCAAAATCGTTAACTAGGTAATTTACGAACTCCTGGGTTCCTCATAAATCATAATAAAACTCTATATAGTGTAACTGCCTTCCTACATTTCTCTCAGAACTGATTTATTCAATTCCTCTATACCTTATCAGAACATGACATCCACAAGGAAACAACCACTTTTGCTAAAGTAATCCGATAAATTATGAACTCCACAGCATGTGGTTATTTTGCATAATGATAAGAGGTTACATTGTTGTCCCATTTATCTCCTCTATCTAACAAAGATCATATGGTCCTAATCTAATCCTTGGTCTTAGGTAACCACATCCCCAAACAAACATTGGATCCCAACAAAAAGTATTTCAACTTGACCATTCAGACCATGAAATTGCTGTTATTCTCTTCTTGTTTTCTCAAAAATTAATTTTTAAGGGTTTATGCAGTTAAGTTCATGGGTATCCAAAAATAGTTAGCGTAAGATAAATAAAAATTAAAAAAATGTATTATTAAGAGAATCATACCATAGCCACAAGTTTGAACATCAAAGCCTTCATCCTGCAATTCTCGTATGAGTGGCAAACTCCCAGTGATAGAGTAAGGTTTGACACGTCCAACAGCTTCTTCAGTGGCTTTGCACAACACGTGGAAGCCACGCGAATCAAGATCGCAAGCAACTCCAGAGAATGCCTCATCGAAACTGATTTTAATTCTGAGGGGGAAAAACAAAACAATGCACATAACACATTCATAAATGACCAAAAATTAACATGCCGCTTCATATAATCAGCACTTATTTTTCATAATAATTTTTTTCAAGTTTTCATAACTAAAGAACATGTCCTCAAGTTTTTGGCTGTAAAAGAAGAAAAAGAAATTAGACAAACCTCCCCCTAAGCTGTTCATCGGGCAGGACATATTTTGACACCGGGCCCCTTGTGTCTAGCTTCTCTATGTTGGCATTCAAATCATCTACATATTCTTGTAGCTTCTTAATAGCATCTGTTACACTGAAGTGGTGTATCAGAGTATTAGAATTTAAAATATCAAATCTATATTCTCTTGCTTAGAATCATGTTGCTTGAAATACAGAACACAAGTAGTAAAAAACAATCCAGATCAACCAAGGAGTCAGCTTCTCATAAACAACGAAATTTTGGGTAACAAAAGGTTAGTTACTTACTTGTAAAATGGAGTTAACCTGCAAAAGAAAAAGGACATGCTTAGACATCAATTTACATCCATAGCCGTCAAAAATAATTATTGGAAAGATAATATACCTGACATCTCCCGAAATTGTACACTCTTTTGGGATTTGATTGATACCACCGCCTGGATCTGCAATAACAATGATGAATATGGAAAATGAAAATAAGTTTTTGGTATAACATGACTGTAAAAAAGACATTATCACAAGGACAAAGCCACAAATTGACATTTGCTATTAAAATAATAACAAACCAACTTATGCTTATACATGTTGGAAAATAAATGGGAACAAAAAGCCCTAACATCAGTTCAGGAACCTCAATTATTCACTAACAAACAGAAAGTTGTTGAAGTTTAAGGGTTTCAAAATATAAAAGCCTAAAGAAGTTATTAATCAACATAAAATCCATACAACTTTTGATTGTTAACTTCGATCCTTTTTTATTTTCTTTTCAAGTTCATGGTAAGACCCCACATGTGCCAATTGATTGACACATGTTAAAAGCATGTTTAAAAACAAAAGACATGTTTGGAAGTGTATTCGATATATCCAATAAGTGTCTACGTATGACACATGTTGGATACAGCCACGCCACCCTAGAAGGCATGTATTGTGACTAATTTGCTCAAACTTACAACTCCACTGAGTTGGTTTCATAGTTGATGGTGTTGCAAATCCATAAACTTGTTCTTTAGGATGCGGGGGGAAGTCTTTGTAAAACCGCAGTTGGATCTCTTTAAGTGCTTCCATAGACAACTCCAAAGGATTTATAGCCTGCAAACATTCAATAAGAAATATCATCAACATCTTTTGTTTTTATTTGATAAGAACAAGAACCTTCATTATACAAGGCAGAATGAAAGTGTTATTTTGCTTTTTATATAAAATTGAACTTTAACTAATATAAGACATTTTCAGAAAGCATGGGTAATGCCTTCCTCAGGCTTAAGCATTTTCAAAAGAAGGAAATGTTTTCTGCTTAAATATCAGTATTTTTAAACGAAGATACAGCAAATCAAATCCAATAACTGTAAAAAAAGTTATTAGAAAAATCCATAATTGATTTGCTGTAGTACAAAGTATTTGCACAGAAAGTTAACATATGATGCTAGAAAACGTATGTTGAAATAGATTACCTTGTGTGCTAGACCACTGTGAAAAAGCTTTCCGGTGGTATGAAGTTTCCATGGTATCATACCACCAGTACCAATGCAAGGTTGTTTATCAGCTGTGTCAATCCAAAAGCTGGAAGAAACAGAGATGGACATTACCAAAGTACCAAAAAATTAATACTTCCATATAAATGAACTAATGAAAAGCTCAATTTGCCAAATTTCCATTTGTCTACAGGAGATTTTAACCACTTACAGAGGACCATTTTTTAACTTATTAAGCAAGCCATCTTTCATTAATGCATCCACACCAACCCCAGGAATGGATGAGTTCTCTTCACTGGCTATGAAGACAGCAACCACAGTCGACTTCAACTTTGCCTTTCTCTCGCCCAACCTCTTCATAAGTTCAGTTACAAGAGCAACATGCCCCAAACAATCAGTTGTTCCACGGCCACAAAGCTTTTCACCATCTATAGTCATAGAGAAAGGATCAAAGTCCTGCACAAATGATCATCAGCAGAAGCATAAACATCATCACTGTTTGTCAACCCTGAAAGACCTATAGTTCTGTAAACAGAATTCGAATCCAAGTCAAATTTCTTATTAAAAAAAAAGGTCAACTATTGAATGCAACACATTCAGTTTGCTCAAAGCCTTATGATCAACATTAAACAGAGAAGAAATCAACAGAATTCAGATTGAATTTATGGAAAACTTGATGTGATTTAGCCTTTAATCACAGTTCCTATAAGTTATAACCAGTCATTCCAAGAATTATCGGTTACAATAACCAATTTGGTAAAGGTCTAACAGTAAACAAAAAAGAAGAGCTAATGTGACTAGTAACCCAAATAGAAGAAACTAAAAAATAAAGTAAAAATGCCAAATGGGTTGAATACAACCCTTGAAAAGAAAAAAACAAACGACAATGAGAGAAAAATAAAAAAACAGCAAAAGTTCAGAATGAAATCAGGGCAGCACTATTTAACTTCAATAAATAAATAAAAAAGAAGCAGAATAATGATATACTAAGCAACTATTATACTATAAATTTATCTGACTTGGAAAGAGTTATCGTCCAATTATCAAAATGTCAAATCCTAAGCAACTAGATCAAACACATAACGATTAAAAATGGGAAATCAGCAAAATCCCAATTCCAGCAACAAATAAATAGGTTAATCTTAGTCATATGTAAATTCCACAAACAAATTCAAATCAAACCCACAAATTAATGCTCAATTGATAGAGAAGTAATAAAAAACCGCAGGTTTGCAGTAACAAGTAGCTTAAAATGGATAGTTCTTAAATTCACAACATGTTGGGCAACATCCAGTAATGCCAATGCAACGAATATACATGAAGTCCTAATAATATACTTAAATTCACATAATCTTACCACAGATTGTAATAATATAAAGCATCATATTAACTTTGGAAACCATAAATTGTCGTAACACTACCATAGAAACGATTAACTTTAAGTCTTTAACACAAATTGTTGTAACATCTTATTTTTAGAAACCATAATTTATCATAAGGCTTCATAACATTTTCACAAAAATGTGCAATATTACTACAAAACAAGCATAACTTTACTACAAATTATGTAGTAACATGAAAGATATGAACTTTAGAAACCATAAATTATCTTAACATTAACCACACCCCCCCCCCCCCCCCCCCCCCAACCAAAAAAAAAAAAAAAAAAATGGGCCATAATGGGATTGGTTCATTTTGTTAGTTTATTATGGAGAGAGACGAGGCAAATCCGACACAGATCTCACACCCGCACCCGTGTCGTGTCGTGTCGACACGGGTACTTCGCCCCAAAGTGACGAGTCCATGTAACATAGAATATTACTACAAAACAAGCATAACTTTACTACAAATTATGTAGTAACATGAAAGACATGAACTTTAGAAACCATAAATTAGCTTAACATTAACCACCACCACCCCCCCTCAAAAAAAAAAAAAAATGCATAATTTTGTCACATGTCCTAACAGAAAACATCTTAATTTTTAGAAGGGCATGCTAGAATACACACCCACACTCTCAAAAAATGTGTACCATATGCAAGTTAGGATCAGGACACCACAAATGTCATAACTTAATAATAATAATAATAATGAGTTATAACCAAACACAATATAACTAAAACCTTTTTTATCATAACCAAAATAATAATCACAATAAATTATACATCACAATGAGCCATAATCAAGTCATAACTAACAAACAATAGGTCATATCCAAAAATCACAACATGTTCCATTTTGAGATATGTATTATAGAATTTTCCTTTTTAGAAACCACAAATTTCCGTAACAATAATAATAGGTAAAGGTATAAGTAGACAAAATTTTAGGAAAAATGAAATTTCAGTAAAGCATTAGCAAAAAAAATTACATTTTTATGGTAGTGCAACTATCTCACATCTATTCTGCAACTCTCATGTATGTCGGAGTTGCACCAAAAAAAAAAACAAAACAAAACAAAACAAAACAATTCCCTATTTCGTGACTGTACCAACTCTTTACAATTGGGGGGACTACATGCGCAGTTGAGAGAAGGGTAAAGAAAAATTACAAATACATGGGTTGCAAGTGTCCATGGTGGGTGCAAATGAAAAGATGTGAGGGTGCAACATTTGCGCCCTTCCCTTCTCCCACATTTACAATTTAACCAAAATTTTAAGCACCCAAGCAAAATAGATAAACCCCAGAAAAGTACACTAATGTCAGTTTCATCATATGTTCCAATTCCTGAACAACTGAGCCAAAAAAGAGATAAAGTGAAGTTCCAAAGCCAAATCAGATCAAACCCACAAAAAATTACAACAAATCAGCCATATAGAAATGAAAAAAAACCTTAACCTAACTAAAATTAGAAGTACCAAATCCAAAATTAGATCAAATCAGGACAAAAAAAAAAGCACCAACCAAACAATGAGAGAGAGAGAGAGAGAGAGAGAGAGAGAGAGAGAGAGTCAGACCCAATCACTAGGGTCGGCAGTGACAACATCCATGTGCATTCCGACGAAGGACAAGATCTGATCTTGTTGAGTTCCTGGGTACTCGACGATGAGGTTGCCTCTGTTGGGGTGGTATGTGACATGGTTGACGATGAGAGGTCCACCGCCTGTCGTGGTGCTGTAGGGGAGGAGAGTCTCGAGGACGTGCTTCACGATTCTGTCCTCCTCCGGTATGAGCTCCGGTGGGTTGTTCTGTACGTATTTGGACTCGCCGATTAGCTTTGTCAGGAGGGTTACGAATGAGTCTTTGTTGAGTTCACCCAGTGATTTTTTTACCGAAGAAGAAGAAGCCATGGACCGGGGTGTCTTTTTTTTTCTTTTGAGAAACGGAAAGAGGTGTGCTGAAAAATTGAAACCAATACATATATATATACACACTAGGGTGTGAGTGTCGTACTTAAAATATAAATTTTAACTTTAATTGATAATATATTTTTTATATTTATTGTAGTACTTTTTTTTTTATGAAAAAATATGAAAAAAAATAAATAAAGTAATGTAATAAATTATAGTTATTTTTTTATATTTTGACTAAAATATTTAGTCTTCAAATGAGGCATGTGATAAAAATATTTTTTAAGTAAGTTACATGAATGATCTTAAGTTTAAGTCTTGTATCTCTATTTTAATTATTATTTTTTATTTTATTTTAGATGGAGAAATTGACAACAAGAAAAGAAGACCAGTAAGCAAAAAGAAGGAAGAAGTTTATGGAGACCAATTGAAGTGTTCACTTTTAATAATAATAATAATAGAATTATATATATTTGAGAAATATTATTGTGCACACCGATATAAACATGATAAGACCATTTTCAATGGGTCACTAAATGTTTTATTAAATTTAAATTTGATAAAAAAAATTTTTTTTTTTTGCTCCAATGGTTCACCAAATCTTTAATCAAATTCAGGATTTCTCAAATCTTTCATTAAATTGAGGTTGGATGTATCTTTCGTCAAATCACTATTTATAACCGTTGAATTTTTACCACCGAATAACCACCTCAAGACAAAAATTTGTAAAAAATTTACACTGGTCGGTCCACCGGCCGAACATCCGCTTGGTTGTTCGCCCCATCACCCCCGGATGACCACCTCAAGACAAAAATTTGTGAAAATTTTACACTAGCTAGTGGACCAATCGGATATCTGCCTGACTCACTTATTAAATTTAAATTTGATAAAAAATTTTTTTTTTTTTTTGCTCCAATGGTTCACCAAATCTTTAATCAAATTCAGGATTTCTCAAATCTTTCATTAGATTGAGGTTGGATGTATCTTTCGTCAGATCACTATTTATAACCGTTAAATTTTTACCACCGGATAACCACCTCAAGACAAAAATTTGTAAAAAATTTACACTGGTCGGTCCACCGGCCGAACATCCGCTTGGTTGTTCGCCCCATCACCCCCGGATGACCACCTCAAGACAAAAATTTGTGAAAATTTTACACTAGCTAGTGGACCAATCGGATATCTGCCTGACCATCCACCAAGTCGACCGATATTCTAATGAAACTTCAAAAACTTCCATTGGAGCACTTGATATCAAATAGACATTTTACTCAAATTTGATGAAAATTTTGATGCAGTGTTGGAGATATTCTAACTAAAAGGAAAAATGGTATAATTTTAATTTTTTTAGTTATAACTAAATACAATATGAGACATATGTAAAGAACTTATAAGTTATAATTAAAATAATATCATAACTAAATAAGAAAATTGGTCATAACTAAAGAAAAAAATAACATAATTAAAGGTGCATATGATATATTTTTTTAAAAGGGTGTATAATAAAATTTCCCTATATTAATATATATATATATATATATATTTAAACAATATAATTTTGGGGGAAGATTAAACTAATAATTCCTCTATGGGTCATTTTGATGAATGTAATTTTAATTGATTCAATTTTGATTATGAATTTATAATTTTATCTCAATTTAATGTAATTAATTACAATTGCTAACATTTTATTAATGAAATATAAGTATATAAGTGGCATTTATCATAATTTCACAGGCAAAATTATAGGGTTGTTCAACTAAGTGTGTTAATAACCTCAATCAATTCAGTGATAATTTTTCGTCAAAAATATTAATAGCGTTATCAATTAGGCAATACAAAATTTAAAATTAATAGTTAAAATTGAGTCAATCAAAAGTGTGAGAGCCAAAATGACACAAATAGCAAAATGTAGGGACTACCAGTGTAATTTGCTCTAATTTTTACAAAATTTAAGATAAATTGTTCATGTTTATTTTTTATTTTTTCGAATTATTCTCATCTTAAGAAAAATATAAAAAATTAAAGTAAATAACATTGACCTCTGTTGAGATTTGGAGAAAATATAACAAATCTTACAATTTTGACATAATTGCACAAAATTTTCTTTTAGTAAGGTTAAAGAAATTCATATTAATGCAGATGATATGAAAATACAACGATACATAATGTAAAATATACATTTCAATGTGAAAGAATTGATAACATTTTTTTCATTTATATGGTTAATGAATTTCTAATGAAAATAAAATTAAGTGTTAAAAATTAAAACTTTAAGAGAGCCTAGTGTCACAAGCCTAGAGAGTCTAGAGTCCATGAGAGATTACACAGTGTCACAAGCCTAGAAATCGAACTATGGGTATTGTAGAAGGGACTTACTGTTATTTTGCAAAAAGAGATGAATAAAGTGATCATTGAAACTAATGCAGTTCTAGCAGTGCAACTGATGGAAGAAGAACCAGTTCAAAACACCCCTTTCAAAAATATGGTGAAAGATGCAAAGATCCTACTCAGAGGTTGTGAGTGTATTGTGCAACATACATTGAATGAGGGAAATCTATGTGTTGATGTATTGACTAAGTTTGGAACAGATCAACCAGAAGAAATGCTAATGGTGAATAAACCACCAGTCTAATTTAGAAGCCCGCTAGTTGTAGATATGTTAGGTCTATCTAAGAAAAGGACTCGGTCTGTGTTGTTGTTGTTTTCCTTTCCGGTATACTCAATAATAATAATAATAATGTAATTATATCAAACTTATAATATTTATTATAATTTTTTTAAAATATAAAAGAAACGTGTTGGCACCATAAATTTGCAATTTTATTGTTACTTGACATTCTCCTACTCATTTGGAGGTTATGAGAAGTTATGAATCATTAAACATATATGACAAAATGATGGGAAATGTAGAGGATTATGGAGCATAATGCAGAAGAATATGGAGGACAATATGGAGAACGTGGAACATGAATTGGAAGTTAAAGAAAGTTACGAAGACATAGAAGGATATGTGACATTATGGGAATAAAGATGGAAGAGTGGGTAGTTTTAGGAGGTTATTGGGTAGTTATTGCCATAAATAGCCATTTATGGCAATATTGGGTAGTTTTTTCCTACAAATATTTGTCTATAAATAGCCATTTATGACTACATTGTAGAGGACCCATACTCAGATTCAGAAACCAGTCATTTACTTCATATTTTTCTTTCCAGTTTTATATTTCTAGCTCTTTACATTTTCATTATTTCAATTCTTGTACTGCACTTCATTTTCTATGAGTAGTTTTCAATTAGTCGTTGCTGTAAATCTTTTCAAGACTGGATCATTTCATTATAAGTTCTTATTCATTCAATGAAATTCAGTTTTTAAATTATTCTGTACCTGTTATTTCTTATAAATTGATCCTAAAACAAACTACCAGGAAAAGTCATCTTCATTGAGGCTGAAAAAACTTTAACACAATTATCTGATAATTAATTGATAATTATAAATTTTGTAAAGACTCATTGATCTTTACTAACACGCTTAAAATTATATAATTAACTTTTGAAAGCCAAAAAAATCAACAAAATGTCAGTATAAGTTATCTAAAAAATTGAAAAGCAAAATTTAAAGAAGACCACAAAACAACCTTGTACTAAGGGGTTGTTTGGGATGTTCTAAATAAGTGTACTTTTTGAATTTTTATAAAATATGGGTTGAGTTTGAAGCGATGTAGTAGAGAGGTAATGTGACTTAAATAAGATGATAAGATTTAAATAAGGCCTCGTTTGGCAAGTGGTTGTTTTAGTCTAAAAGTCAAAAAATAACTAAAAAAACTAAAAAGCCAACAAATTATACCAAAAAGTCAAAAATTCCATTTTCTCTCTACTTTTTGCACATCTTTTCGTAAAAAGTCAAAAAAGTCATCCAAAACATACTAATTTTTCTTACCTCATATTTTAGCCAAATAATTAAAAAATTACTAAAATAACCTATTTTTAAATGAGACTTAAAATAATGACTTTTTGACTTTTTTTTTAAAGAATGTCATAGGCTGATTGAAAAGCTTCGAAGAACCTTATTCTGATAGTCCTTGGGGGTGTGGTGGGGAATATTGAAAAGATTGAAAGAAGCGTATTCTCACTTAAAATTTGATTCCAAAGCAGTTTTATCTACTTTACTTGGGCTTCGTAGGTTGTAACTCCAGAAATCCCTTCTCTGTAATTAGAATTTTTTTTTTTAACCAAAAAGATAAAATAACAAATAAATCATATGATTTAAGGTAACTTAATGTAGGGGAAGAGTGAAGACTCCGGATATGGTTTAGGAGTCTTGCAGTCACTTTATGGTGTGATAAGGGAAATGTCAAGAAGTTAAATTAATTGAGTAGCAATAAATTATTTTAGTTGTAATGTAACTTTATTAACAATATACGTTACAACTTTGGTAACAAAAAATAAATAAATAAATAAATTCTGAGACATTATTACAATGATGTTCCAGTTTGAATGTATTTGATTTATTTTTATTCTAATTATATTTATTAAAAAAAAAAAAAACATCCAAAAATGACTGGGGAACATTCGTGTAATCATGTTTTTGCTCCTAAAGACTCTAGCGTATATATGATTTCTCCGTAAATTTTGTGTAATCATGTTTTTGCTCCTAAAGACTTGAGCATATATATGATTTCCCCGTAAAAAATAAATTATAATTAGATTTAATTATTATCAAGTTTTATTGAAAATAAGTTATAATAAAACTATCATCAAAGATAATTTTTTATGGCAATTTTTTACATATGTAGTTAAAAATTAACAATTAGTAACTTTTTTTGTCACGATTTTTATAAATTGTGATTAAAACTTATAATTAATGATGTTTTTCTGTGACAAAAATTTCAAATTATCACTAAAAATTAAAAATTAGTGACTTTTTTGCTACGATTTTTTTGAACCGTCGCTAAAATTTATAATTAATGACATTTTTTTATAACAAAATTTTCAAACTATCACTAAAAATTAATAATTAATGATTTTTTTAATAGTGTTTTATATAAAATACCATTAATTATTA